TTATTTATTTATTTATTTATTTGTATGTATACTGTAAGAGGAGAAAATAACCTTGTCAAAAAATTTTATATAAGTATCATGTTTAGGCTTCATTAGCTGATTTGTTTATTAGTGTACAAAATCAACTTATTGAGTAAGCAGCAATGGCTGCATATGCGTATTAAAAATCAAATACTATCATGACCTGAACAACCAATATAGGTTATTTTTAAATTGATGTTTGATACTGTTACTATTCATTGTCAGATTTCTGACATAAAGATATATCTTCTCAAGTAGTGTCTTCTGTAACTTATATCTATAAATAGTAAGAATCTTTTCCTGTCGCTCTAACTAGATTTGGGTTATTGCGTAGTATTAACTGTCTATTATGATAGTCTCAAGAGAAGATGTTCTTTTCAACAGACTGTCCTGATAGATTATAATCGAACTTAAACTATTCTTATATAAGACTTGGAGTAATTAGTTGTGTAGCATTATCAATTTTAATAGTTTGGAAATTATTAATGTCGACGTGGAACTGAAAGGTACTCGGTTAAAAATTGAATAAGTCGAGAATGTAAACAGCTAGCGATTTGCAGTTTTCAGCAATCGACAGAGAAGATATGGAAACGTCTTTTTCTCCAATAGTATATAGGACAAAATCACTTTGAAACTAACGATTTCTAACAAAACATTCAAAAAAACTGTATGAAAATGGACTGTCATTACAATGAAATTTTGATAACAAATAAGAAAATTTACTTAAAAATCAACAAAATTCCATATTACTTGATCAAACAGATATACAGTTTTATTTTTCTCAGTCTTAGGATGTGAGAAGGTAATCATTCAAAGTGTTTCTTGAACTATAGATCTCAAGTTCCTTTATCTAAGAGGCATGCCAAAATCAAAATTTTATCGGATTAACAGATTATTTTTATACATTTTTTGAATGTTTTGCGAAAATCTTTGGTTTCCAACTGATTTTGTTCTATATTTTATTGAAGAACAAAACGACCCCATGTCTTCTCTTTCGATTGTTGAAAGTCGCAGATTGATAGCTGTTTGCGTTCTTGACTTATTGAATTTCTAACTAAGAACTTTTAAGTCCTGCGTCGATATTAGTACAGGATATTGTGTTATTGTTACTGACAGGTTGTATTTTATTTTTATATGATGGTAATATACGAAGACTCTTCTGAGTGACAAAATGAGTAGGCGGTGTTATAGAGAAAATATTCATTCTTCTTTTATAGAATTATAAGTATATGTGTATGATGATCATTTTTGTTTATAACTATTGCTTTCACAATACTTATTTTGATTGCATGATATAGTGAAAATATATAATTCTAGAAATATTCTTCGAAATTCTATTACAAATTGATGATTCTAATAAAAAAAAAACTCTTCTTATTTATAATGTGGTATTGACTAAAATCAGTCTTTCTTCTGTTGTAAAAAGATAGGAAAAGTTCAAACCAAAGCTGTTCTACAGCAAACATCGGTTATATATCACATCATGATAAATTTTACATAGGAAAAAAATAATAAATTCATTTCTAAGGTCAAACTATATTGTTATCAAATAGTGCATGAAAAGCTTACATAATGTATTCAAAACCTTTTTTTTTCAGGAATTATAAATTAGATTATTTAGTAGTCATTATTTTATTAAAAAAAAAAACCTTCACCAAATATTATCTGAGTATTTATTGTCAGAAGAAACTCTTTCTATCAGAAAATAATAATCGATTCATAAAATCATGTAGTACATCATGTCAAGTTTAGTTATTTTATTTTTTTCTTCAATATACTCTACCATAATAAAAATAATCAATTATTAGTCGTAGTATGAGAATTCAATTAATATTATAAAGCAAAGAAACCAAATTGTTCAATTACATTAACAATACGACATAAATATTTAAAGTGTTTTTCTTTAGTATAAACATCAATAATCATCATTATATAAATAATTGTCTGGGTCGTTTTCTTCTATAGAAAATAAAAATGAAGATTTCTATTATACTTCGACTAGGTCAACAGAACATGTAAACATCATTTGTTAATCATTGAATCATATGTGACAAGAAAAAACTAATAATATGCAAACCTGCATTAGTTATAATTAGAAAATGTGTGCCTTCTCATGGTTTAATCTCAATATGTTTATGCATAACTCGTATCAGCTAAAACTCTATCGTTCTTGTTGTTTTTTCTAGCAAACATTATACGTATATATTCATTCTTTTAAATCAATAGGTTCTGTTTAAGGTAATATGCTATCAATGGATGTCAATACATATGAATACTTTCAAACTATTTTAGTAAAGCATTATCCTTATTCAAAACTACTATAAAATTAATATTTTTATTGTGATTCAGACTAATTAATACAACCTTAGGATAACATATTCAAATGACTAAGAATTATGAAAAATAAAAGTTTTCATATATAATTAGATTCTTGATCTGTCATGTACATGTCATAATCTTTTCTTTCTAATCTTTTTTGACATTTAAAGAGAACTATCTTAGTTAGAAGTGAAATGAAATTTATCAAATGAGTTCAGCCAACGTTGCATTTTCTTTTTTTGTCTCTTAATACAGGTAACATTACATTAGAAAATAACCATAATTTATGCTTCCAATCAATGAATAGTTTTTTTCAAATTTTTCTTTTTCTTCATTTTCTATTAAAAAAAATGTGCAAACTCAATGAAGGTCACGTTTTTAGCTCGAGAAATAATTGATGAACATTGCATGCTCTAATGTAAGATATTACTAATTCAAAAATCGAAGAGAACTTTGTTCTATGACAATTTTTACATGATGATATAGAGTCCACTAAGGCTTACAGTTGTGTATAATTTAAAAACTTTTTAGACTTTCTTTTGAAATAATTTTATAATAAGCTATCAAAATGAACATGTTTTATTGTGCATTTGTTCTATTAAAAAAATAGTTATATCCTAATAAAATATTAATTTTTTGTATTTTTCTTTTGTTCTAACAGTTTCAAAACGTCATTATCAGGTTCAGTATACAAAAGTGTACGTGAGAACATTGGTTAACTAATATTTCTGCATGCTGAATCGAATTATCACATTTCTTTTGGAGTTGTTAGAATAAAACAAACATACAGGAAAATTAGATTTTTTTCATAAGATATGACTATTTTCTTTATAGAAAAAAAAATCCACCATGGCACATGTTCATTTTGATAGATTTCTATAAAATTATTTTAAAAAAAAAAGTGTAAAACGTGTTTTTTTATATACCGGATGGACCAAAAGTGAGAAAAAATAATGAGTATTCCATAATAACTGATAAAAAACTGTTAACGATATTTTTCATACTTTTATTGATGTAAAGAGCTGACATTTTTATTACATATATATCTAATTAACACCTTTTATTTCTGAAAGTTTTAGCTCTCTACATCAATAAAAAGTATGAAAAATATCATTAACAGTTTTTCATCAGTTATTATTAGATATCCATTATTTTTCCTTACTTTTGGGCCGCCCAGTACATATTCTTGTAGACTTTGTAACTAAAATGATAACAAGAAAAAACTTCTGTGAGAGTTTCGAATAATTATCTCCTTAATGAGTCCAATGGATTTTTGACATAATTAAAGAAAACTATCAGTTTATGTCTTTTTTTTCTTGTCCTGAAAGTTTATTATGATTAAAAATGTTTCACTATCATACGACGATGTAGCGTGACAACTTTCTGTTGCTTTTGTCTTATTATTTCTCGTTTTCATTTGACTTAGAAGTCTGTAAAAATAATTTGTTCACCATAACAGATCTTTTATAAACAGTGTACATTTAGATCAAATATATGATGTGAAAGTAAATAGTCTTAATGCATTTTGAAAGCATACACTTTTAGAGATAACTATACATAATAAAATAATCTGTTTAAATTGCGTGACGATTTCAAATTCAGATGTTAAACAGCTTATCGAGACAAAAAAACGATATTTAGTAAGTGTTCCTTTTAGTCTATTTCCTTTCTAGTAATTTATCATGTTTTCTTTAACTAAAACTAGGTTTTTCACTTTTTGATCATATATTAATGTACAGGAATAGCATTAATGATACAGAAAAATATATTGAAATAAGTAATGAAATAGTCTGATAAAAAAAAAAGATTTATAATAAACTTTTTGTACGTAACTACTTGATTCTACTACACTAAGTTGACTATCAAATTATTAGATCACAAGTAGTAATAGGAAATATGTTTTAAAGATATAAACATAGGAAATTAACCGACAACTCATTAAGAAAATAGGTTTTTTTTATTTTTTATGAAGATAATATGTACTTTTACTCAACTCCAATATATTACAGTCTGGCGCTCATTATAAGAAAGATACTAAAAATATGCATTATTTTTTTAATTTAAATAACTATCGTACTCTCTTAAAACACGCATCAAAATTGTTGTTGTAGATCACAATCGTTTGATTGCATTGTTAGAGTTCATATTGAATATTTTTCTATTTCTTCTTGACGTCATTTATATTTAACTATTATTGTTCACATTTATGTCAATTTGATTTCTTTTCTTTTATAGATGAATACTTCAGACGATTAAACATATAGGAAGTTGACAAAAGAAAAAGAAATGGAAATGAATAATAGTAAAATGATGATTTTAAATGAAACAATAACAAGAAAGTCCTCTTCAACTCACAATATTTATATAATATCTGCTGGTCATCTTTTAATAGTATTTTATTGTATAATTTTTATTTTGGGTTTTCTCGGTATGTAAAAAAGAAAACAATCAATCTACTTTAGATTTATATTATATTTCAGGTAATTCAGCTGTGATTTATGTAGCTATTCGAAAGAAAAAATATCGTAATGTTACAAATTGTTATGTTATTAATTTGGCTTTAGCTGATTTATTATTTTTAACACTTGCTATACCATATACTACATATTTAGGTTTAGTAAATACTTATCCATTTGGTAAAACAATCTGCAAAATTTATATATATCTTGTCTATGTAAGTCGATATAAACTGAAATACAACATAAGAAAGATTTATTTTATTTTTTTGTTTCTATCATTACAGGTATTTTTATTAGCTACTTGTAATACATTAGCTGCGATGAGTATTGATCGATATTTATACATTACTTTACCAACTTCTAAACTACAACATCGTACACCACAAACTGCTTTTATAGTTTGTATTCTTATTTGGACTAGTGAGTAGATAAAATAATTTTAATTGAACAGAAACAAAACAAAAATAGACTTTTTTCTCTCTAGGTTCACTTGTACTTATTATTCCTTATCATATAGTTTCACGTATGTTTACATCAAATTCAAACGCATGTGGTCTTAATGATCATAAAAGTTTTACCATTTGTTTTCTTGTCTTTTGCTCTTATTATGCTCTACCACTTTTTATTATTATTGTATGTTATACAAAATTGGCAATGCATGTTATACGATCAAATCGACTGATTGCTATTCGTATGAATACGGTATGAATAAAACACAAAAAAGAAAATTAAATATTTGAAGATAATAAATTTTATTTTATTTTTTCTTTTATAGAAAACTATTTCAAAATCATTAAAAACAAAACAAAAACAAGTGACGAGAATGGTAAAATAAAATTATAATATAATTTTCCTATAGTCGACATTTAACTGATGTCTTCAAAGTGTTCACTTTTGAAAGATTTTCGATATTTTATTTTGAAATAGTTGTTATAGTTACTATAGTCTATCACACACATTTTCTCGAGGTTATGTTACATGAAACTGTATCGAGGATAACTTCTCTTGTCATTTGTTGAAAGCTTTCTTTTGTATTTTATGAATTTCGTTTATAACTTCGAGTAGAACAAAACAAATGATCATGACTGTTATAAACAATCGACAGGAAGTATATTCTTAATAAGGAAAAAAAATGTTATCTTTGACATCACGTTCTAGGGTTTGGTGCATCCCTACCTTTCAGTCAAAATAGACATCAGTCAGTACGAACTAGGTTTTGCGTGAATTTTGAGTCGCTTCATAAATTGATAAATGAATAGTTGTTAAATTACTTTTCCTCGTTTTCTGTCCGATGTTCTCTCGATTACTTTTCGGTTGGAGGTTACGTCACATACTAATGTTGGATGCACCTACTACGAGTAGTTATTTATCATTTTCCTGGCAAATAATTGTTTCTCACATTTTTCAAAACATTTATGTAGCTTGTTCTGAACTATCAACTTGTGCTTAGAATGTTGCCTCTCCTTTCCATAAGTATAGAAAATATGAAGAGGGAATTCATTTTTTTCAGAAAATGGAAGATATCGTTGTTTTTTAGGGTAACTACAAATAGTCATTCATAACACCAACATACATAAGACATCTTGTTTGTTTTTAAAACTCTACACTCATCACTCGAATGCGCCTTTGCTATGCCTAATTAATGTTTTCTCGCTTATCTAAAACTAGTAGTAGATTCAGTGCACAATTATCAAACACAACTCGATCCTAGGGAAAAGTGAATATTTAAAAATCTCGAACCGAAAAATTGTAAAAATGACAACTACAATGACTATCCATGTAGCCGATTGTTGCATTATCATGTAATTATTGCCATTCAAATGCATTATTTTTCATTATAATGTATTTTTTTCCATTATAATGCATTATAATGGAAAATAATGGCAATAATTACATGATAATGCAACAACCGTCTGCACGAGTAAAAATTTAAAAAGAGATAAATACAGAAAATCTTAACTTTCAACATAAAAGATATTACAGCGCGGTAATTTTTCGAAGATTTTTATGTTTGAGATTTTCCGAATGTTGAGAACAATGTCGTGAAATTATGACATTATCTACTTTCAAAAGGTTCTCCATTGTGGACGAAACCGAGAAAAAAAGGTTCACAGTCCACAATAGAAAGGTGTCTATATAGGGAAGTTTTACTGTAGTTATTCATAATGTTTGTTTCAATGTATCAAGTTTGATAGATAAATTTAGTTAATTGGAGGCTCAAATCAACAAGTATTTATTATTAATTTTAGACTTTTTCTGCAAAACACGATCTAAAACGAGTGTTGAAGTGTAGAGGTAGAAATTTAGACCAATTGCTCCAACCCTTCACTAGAGTCCATCGGGTTCGGGTTGAAAAATTTTTGAACCTGATGGTGTCTTCCCACAAAAGGTTAATTAATCAGGTTCGAATGCAAAATTTTGATCGATCGGATCCGGTTTCGGATCCAAAAATTCTTGGACTCGGTAGGCTCTACTCCCCAAAGACTATGACAGACGCTCGTTGAAAATCATCACGGACTGTGACAGACATTGTTGCTATACGATCAAAGACCGTATATCAATAACGTCTTGTTCGAATATATAATCCACTTTCTTATTGAATTTTTTGAGGATTAACTAAAAGGATGATGAAGAAATGTGTTTCAAAGCTGGCAGAGAATAAAGCAGTCTCCAACACTTAGCAATAACAACTACATTGTGTTTCACATTTTAAGCTCGTAAGAATTATGCTAACAGCTTTAATCCTTTCAAAGACTCATTGTATTGATATTTTTATATCTGATAACATCTTCTTTCCACATTTAAAGCAAGTCATAACTCACAGTCTGATTACATCTTTGTATATTTTCTAATTTATCACTGGTTATTGAATTGTCAAAATATAATCCTTTTCGAATTTAAAAAACCTAAGTCCAGAAGTTTAAATTGAACACAAATCATATCACTTTGTCTATAAATGATTTTAATTACGAGAAGAACCGTACGAGTTAATCGTGTAATGCGATCAGATTAAGCTGTTTGAACACGTTATCCGGCATTGATTTTCATCAGTTTGATGGTATTATAAAATATATTCTTAGTTCATAGGATTGTCGAAATTTCTGATAGAAATAAGAAGTCTCTTGATTGTCGACAATTTGAACGTTCAACTTTGTTTTTTTTTCTTTTAGGTTATTATTGTAACATTAGCATTTGCTGTATGTTGGCTACCAATTCATATACTTGAATTAATGAAATGTGCTAATTCATCAATACTCTATGCTCTTGTTCAATCTTATCCAAAAGTTCTTTATTCAATTCGTGTATTTACACATGCATTAGCTTATTTCAATTCGTGTTTAAATCCATATTTATATGCATTATTAAATCGTAATTTTTGTGTTGATCTTATGGATATAATCCCATTACGTTTTATACGTCATAGTCGAATGAGAATACTTGAAACTAACACTTCAAATCTAAAAGAAAAATTTTTATCTCCAACTGTAATACCAAATGAAAGTTCTCTTAAAAAAGAACTAAATAATAATGATGTTGCTGCTCATGGGATCGATTATAATGAAAAACCTAAATCAAAAACTGTTGATGTTAGTCGTCAAATTGAATTACATGAAATGTAATATGGAATGAAATACTTCTTTTTTTGTTTTCTTCTTTTTTTTTTGTTCGTTGCTATTCATATATCAGAAAGAAAAAAAAAGAAAATAATTACTAATATTTATTGAATGCTGATTTGTCACAAAAATACAAAAGCAAAAACAAAACAAAACTTTTTGGAATTTATCTGCTGATATCATTTGTTTATGAAAAAACAAAATCATAAATTCTCAGCTGAAATAAAAATAAAAAGGAAATCTGAATATTTAAAAATATTCTTTATCATAATCCGCTCGTTTAAGTTCATGCCAACGACGTGATGGATTTCGTTTAGAATATCGTAGTGATACAAGATGTCCAACTTCATCCATTGCTCGTAAAGCCTAATATAGGAAATTCATTAAGATGAAAAGCTTCTTTTTTAACTTACATTATCAAGCATTTCTTTAGTATGACCAGCTGATATACAAAATCTTACACGTGATTCTGTAAGTAAAGTAGCTGGAAAGCCAACAGTGACAACAGCACAACCACGCTTTAACATTTCACGATTAACAGCTCTAAAAAAAACAGAAACTGTAATTAATGATAATTTAAAAATAAAATTCAATCTTACGCAATTTTAGCTGGCATATATATCATAACTGGGACTACAGGTGAATCATCATTTCCATATACAATAAAGCCCATATCGACAAGTTGACGACGAAAATAACGTACATTACAAGCTAATTGTTGAATACGTTTTTGACCTAATATTTCATAACATTAGACCCATTTCACAAATAAAAAGCAAACATCTCTTATCTTACCATCATTTGTACCATCACGACCCATAATTATATTTAATGCAGATATTATTTGATAGACAATGGGTGCTGACATACTGGTTGAATAACATCCTGAATGTGTGTAAATACGAATATGATCAATTAAAGACTAAAAACAAAATAATTTAAAATAAAATAAAATATCAAAAAAAAAAAAAATGAAAACTAATACCTTTTTTCCAGCGATATAACCACCAGCTGATCCAAAACTTTTAGTAAATGTTCCCATATGTATATCAATATCCTTGGGATTAACATTCCAATAATCAACAACACCACGACCATGTGAACCAATAGCACCAATTGAATGTGCTTCGTCAACATATAAATAAGCTTTATATTTTTTCTTCAATTCAATTATTTCTCGTAAGTTACAAAATGAACCTTCCATACTAGAATACGGAAATTGATTTTAAATATAAGAAAACTAAAATGGTTTGTGTCATATATTTACCTATAGACACCTTCGACAATAATCAAAATTTTTTTCCATGGTCGACATGTTCGTGGTTGACCATGAATAATAGCTTTACGCAATTGAATTTCTAAGTCTTTTGCATCTATAATAAAAAATATAAATTTATTTTACAAAAAAAGTCTCAAAAACGTTGAAAATGTTCCTTCATCGGAAGCAAAATACTAGAAGCACCGTCAAAAAAAATGTGTTTTTTTTGCAACGGTACTAATTTTTTAAAGGCTATAAAATTTTATAGGAACAGCATTTTGAGGAAAAAATGCACTTCGACTTGACCAAAATACTCAAAACAAAAAATTTGAGCCCGATCGGACATACCGTGTGGGTGAAAATAGGCGGAAACTTCGTTTTTTTTTTGCGCAAAAACTAATTTTGAGAAAAACGCAAAACAAACTTTCCTATATATATATATCAGGACTTTCTTCTCCCACTAAAGTGATCGACAGCTAGTCGTGCTCAGCAGTGTTAGATAACCAGGACCTATGCTCTCAGCACCTATAGAAATTATCATTAAAAGAATTTTGCATACAACGAATACTTGCAGTGCGAGTTTTCCCACTGAAGATTTCGAGCGTTGAGTTTAGTAAAAGTACTAAATAACAACGAAGCGTCCTCATTTATATGGCTCTTGCTAGAGGATCCTTCGAAGGTATATTAGCTGTGAAAAGCCAAAAATTGAAAAAATTTTGATTTTAACAACCGGAAATAGTATCTCCTTAAGGCTATTCCCCCCTTTCGTGACCTAAAATTTTTGTTTTTTTTTTTCATTTTCTGTGGCTATTATATAGTCTCAAGTAGCATCCAAAAAACTGTCTTTAAATGCTAAAAAATTAAATTTACGCAACGGACGTAGTGAATGCTGTTCTTCTTTGACCAAATTTTTCATGAAATATAGTGCAAAAACGCCCTCGTTTCTCCAGTCTAGAATATTCAATTGAGCTGAAACTTTTTTCACATATATTATACACTGTTTGAGATGGGTATTTGTTTTCTTTTTGTTTCAAAAAATATTGTTCTGCTGATTTTCTAGTAGTTCTTACAAAAACACTCTATTAAAAAAACATGCATTTTTCAGATCACCTTCGATATTTTTATTCAAAGGATAAAAAAATAAAAAGAATTCCATTTCAAGTTGTGTTGAGTGTCTATAATAAAATTTTCAGTTCGATCGAACATAGCATCTGAGAGAAACGGGGAGCGATTTTTTTGCCATTGTGATTCAACTATCTCATAGAAGTCACTATTCGGGAACTTTGAGTCTAGGACAATTTTTCTTCTACTCATCAAGATCTACTTATCCTGACAATGTCAAAATTTCTTCGCGAGCTGCTCTCCAGAAATCCTGGAAACTGAAGGTTCTCTTGAGTCAAATATTCAATACTAACAAGCCGGTAACAAAGAAAATTTTGCAAAGACCATAAAATTCAATTAGGATGAGTTTATTACTCAAAATTCAGCGATTACAGTGCACTTCAAAAGTCTCGCACCACTTTTTTGGTTTGAGTCGTGTATTTTAGCTACGCAACATTAATTAAATTCAACTATATCGTCTGTATTAGTAGAGATCTAATACTATATATATATACACCTGCTTAATGCGATAAAACTTTGAAATTGAAATACAAAAACAAAACAAACTTCAGTGCTAAGAAAAAATGACAAAATGATATTATTATTATGAAGGATCTTGTGAGATTCAGTCACCTATTCAAAATTGAGAGAGTATGATAGCGCGGTGTGGATCTTACTTTCAATCATAGTTACACTCACATGTACACTTCAACTTCCCAATAGTGTATTTTGTAGTACAACATAGTGGGCAATTTCTGAGAAAGTTTGACGTCTGGTCACATTTTCTATAATCGACATATCGAAGACAAGGAGGCTCACCATTAGTGAAAAACTGTATTTTTTCTATCAAAGAGAAGATGATCATAGATGTTAAGTGTATGAACTTGCAGTCGGTGAAAAACTCTACAAAATTGTAAATAAGACAAATTTTCTACAAACACTTCTGACTGATGTCAAGGACCGCAATGATCAGTAACTGATCACGCTCTGGATGCTTAGTCGTATATTGGTAAATTGATTCTAGTTCCTTCAAAGTCTTCTGAATAGATGACCGAATCCAACAGGATCCTTCATAACAATAATATCATGTTGTCATTTTTTCTTATCACTGAACTTTGTTTTTTTTATTGTATTTTATATTGAAAGTTTTATGGTATTAAATAGGCGTATATATATATATGTATAGTACTCAACCTCTACTATACAGGCATATAGTCGCTTTAAATTAATGTTGTATGGTTAAAATACACGACTCAAAACAAGAAAAATGGTGCGATACTTTTGAAGTACACTGTAGGTGGAACTAAGTTTGAATAGAACTAATGATAACCATTTATGACTTGAATATCATACTTTGAAGTGTCTAATAAATTTTTGCCAAAGGCACTTATAATCCAAAAATAAGAATCAAGGTATCATTCTTTATTTTTTCTCTGTCAGTGTACCAACTAAACTTGTAATATAAAGCAGTAGAAAAGAATAAATTCTTATAATATATACTAATCTCGCAAAAGCTAGGTAATTCAATGAGTGAAATTTTCATTCTCTATTTCTATACGTCAATTGAAAGAGGTTTTTTTTTACTGAATTATATATTTACCATTATGATTAAATGTACGAGTAACAGCTCCAGATAGACGAGCACCAAGTATAAGTGAAGTATGATTAAGTTTATCGCTAAGTATTAAATCACCCTATTATAAAAAAATAATTCTATTTATGAATTTTAAATCGAAAAAAAATTTTAATTTTACTTTTCTGGCAAGTGTAGGAATATTTAATGCATTCGTAGCAAAACCCATACCAAAAGCAATACAATCTTCGACATTTAAATATTCAGCCATTAACGATTCAAGATCGTTCATATATTGTTGTATACCTAATTCATGACGTGTACTAGATGTTGTAATACCATATTTTTCTAGAGATTTTATAGCTTGTTCAGAACAAGGACCAGAATTTTCCGCAAAACCCAAATAATTATATGAACCGAGATTGATTGATGGTAATTTTTTACCACTAAATCTATATTATAAATAAAACAACACGAATATTTATACTTCAATTTATAATATTGTTTATTAGCTTTTTTACTTAAATGTCCAATTAAAATCTTCTGAAAGACGTTCCATAACTTGAACTGTAGCTCCAGCAACACTAGCAATAGGTTGATTAAATACATCACGTATACGTGTATATAAATTTCGTGTATAAAAACATTCATAACTTTGATAAAGTGGAACAAAATCCTGTTTTGTTTTTTGTTTTAAAAGAAAATACGTAATCATAAATTATTCTATAGATAAAATGTAAAAAAGAAATACTTTTGGATTTGGATCTTGAGCAGTCATTTTTTTTTCTATACCAATATTACGAAGAAAATCACGTAACCATCCAAGTACACTAAGTAACGCATAGCCAAGAACAGTTATAACAGCAGCCCATGTTGGTGTTTCTTCAAAGTCGTCATTAGATTGACGTCGACATAAATCCTAGAATAAAACTTATTTATATAAAGAAAATTTAAAAAAAAAGAAATATCTTATATTACCTTATGTTCCTTTTTCATATCAGTTTTTTCGAAATTTTTTACAATTGACATCTGAAAAAAAAATGAGATATAGTCAGAAAAATGACTGATAGACAAAAAAATTGATACTCTTTTTTATATACAAAATCACAATTCTATACGTATCTCATCACCATCACAACTACAAACATTAATAAAAACATCTGTTTACATTGTGAGAGCTGTCGTACATCACCACCATTATTCAAGAATCTAAGCAGAACGAGAAGAAAAAAAACTCGCCTGGATGCTGAAAGAATACAAACAAACATATGAAGATTAGCAACACACCTGATGTTAGCAGCTCACGCCTTAGCAACGATCGTTATCGTCACTTTCAAACGACGTCAAATTCCTTGCACGTCATGAAGTACATGACGTCGTACAAAAAAAAAAATTCACTCAAGCTTCTTTTTGTCAAAGTACATTATCACGCTTACTACAGAATGTAAGAAAAAAAAAATCGATTAAAGTAACGAAAGATCAAATTGCAAATAGACGACTACATATGTATCAACTCTCTTTTGAATTTCAAAATGTATTTACATTCTGTTTTGTTCAGAGTAAATACTAAAAAAAAATCAGTTAAAAGAAATATAATATTTAAGTAGTTTATTTTGCATGGGCGTACATATATTCATCGATTACTAATGTAGATAAAAAATAGGGTACAAAAGGAAGAAAAAAAAAAACTAAGCGAGAAAAAAAGGAAAAGAAAAATCAATTGTTATTTATTATCCATCTACTTCTTTCTTTATTTATTCATACAAGATATAAACCAATGATTGAATACTATTTTCCAATCGATTTATTTTTATTAAAAGAAAACAATAAGTCTTAATGATTATTTCAATCATATCAATTAATCTGAAGGTCGTTACAAAGTAAAACATTTTTATATATTATTTTTACACAATCCTCTTTCGAAAAAAAATAATATTGAATGAAAAAATAATTTTTAATCTTGACATCATTTATGTATTAAGAAAATAAATAATGTATGTTTTTTATTTTTTATTTATTCATTCATATTAAAGGAAAACATCTTATAATATAAACATAATCCTTGAAATAAGCATCATAATTTTAATTTTATATATTAATTAGAGTTATGCATGATTTGTAATCGAATCTATTATTATTTATTAGAAATTTTTTTTCTACTTCATATAAAGCGAACTAAAGATAGTAAATAGTAAAATTTGTTGGTACATGAATGAATTATTATCTGCAGTTTTATTTAGACGTAATAAAAAAAAAAAAAAAGAAAGATTGATATCATTAATTGTGCTCAAATACCTCTCTTTAACTTTCTATATTTAACTTTAACGTATAATCTTCTGCTTTTATGTTTCTCTATCTTGAATTATACATATCTAGGGTACAATAAAAATAGCTTGAATCACAAATTTCTTCAAGAATAAGTCAAATATAAGATTGCGATTTAAAAAAAAACCTATGATCTGATTCATTATTTCTTTAGGTCAAAAAAACAACAGTATTAAAAAGAGCTTTTTCTAATTATGTTGGATACAGTCTATAAATCAATTTTTAAAATTACAATGTAATTGATTTGAAGAATAAAAAAGTAAATATTTCTAATGTATAATTACGTACGACCGAATAAACCTTTCGAGAAAAAAGAATTCGTATATGATGAATAAGAATCAAAGAATATCTAATCTAATTTTACAAATTAAAAGTTGTGATTATATAAGGAATAATTTCACAGGCAAAAATAATTGAATTGTTAGATCGTCTTGTACTAACGAGAGAATATTTTCAACTGATCAATTACTTTTGAATTTGTACTCTATACATAAAATAGACTCCAGTAAGATATAAAAAAAACCTCAAAAAGATAAGTCTCCCTAGACCTTCTAGCCAGAGTTATAGGGATTTTCTTGGAATCTCAGTCTTTGGCATGATATATGCCAATAAATCGAATGATGATTTTTCGATCTGAGATTTTACATACAAACAGATCTATTTGTCAGTAGGATGTTCTGAAAATTTCAGCTCAAAAGAATATTTTCTTCTCAGTATACTAAAGTCCCAAAAAAACAAAAAAAATTCTAGCATTTTTCATAGAATATGAGTGATTGTTGAGACTTTAATATTTCAAGAACGAAGCATTCTTTTGAGCTGAAATTGTAGGTGAAAAATCAAAGTGAAGTACCGTCATTCATTTTTTTGGTATATACCAAGCCAGATTCATATTTGTTAAGGAAGATCATAAATGATTTTTGTTTCTTAGTAATTCTCTTCCTGAAAATATTGTTGTTATTATTTGTGACGTTTCAGCAAGTCGATGTTGCCTTCTTCAGACTTTATTAATAGAAATAAGTTAACATTCAGTGTTTAAATACAAAATACAAAACGTACTCAAATGAACTCTAGATTTTTCTTTATTTTTCTATTCTTCTTTTTCTTTTCTATTATGATTTTTGATAGTGGGTCGGCAAGACGGTGATACGTGGTAGAAGTCACGTTGTATATCATCTTCTGCCGATACATTATCAAAAATCATAATAGAAAAGAAAAAGAAGAATAGAAAAATAAAGAAAAATCTAGAGTTCATTTGAGTACGTTTTGTATTTTGTATTTAAACACTGAATGTTAACTTATTTCTATTAATAAAGTCTGAAGAAGGCAGCATCGACTTGCTGAAACGTCACAAATAATAATAACAGTATTTTCAGGAAGAGAATTACTAAGAAACAAAAATATCAAGCCAGAGACTAAATTTCTAGTAAAATATCTATAACTCTAAACAGAAGCTCTAAGAGGACTTATCCTTTTGAGATTTTTCATATCTCATTGAAGTCTATCTTATACACAGAGTCTGAATTCAAAAGCGATTGATCAGTACGAAAACGATTTCTGGTAAGAAATCAAAAAAGCAACGTATTCTTTGATAGTTATTATTATGAATTGCTAATGAACTTCGATGATTTTCCAGTCGAAAGTAAGATTTTCTCATTGTTTTAACAAGTAATAACATATGATAATTATCTTTGCTTAAAAATAATTATGATTAATACTTTATAGAAAATGTATGATAATCTTTGTTTGCCTATTGAATTTCTTTTTTCTTTGCATGAAATATTGTTTTCATGGAAAAGATCTTTCGTTGATAAATTCAGTGACAAAAAAAAGATTGAAGATTTTGATAGCTCTAATGAGATTATTTGATCAACAATATTAGTTTTTCGTTACATTCTCTTTTAATACTTTTCTTTTTCTTACTACAAAAAATAATTTGTCTATCCATCGTTAAGAAGACAAGTTGTCTCTGTAAATACGTAGCAAAACATATTTGTGCCTATTTATTGTTCGAACAACACTATGAAAACGATTCTTATACAGTTCTAACTTTTTTTGTTTTTACTTACAATCTTTGCAACCATTAGAAACTATAAGTCTCAACATAAAAATTCAAAATAGTTCTCAGAATTGAAAGTGATGACATCAGATTATGAAAAAAATATAAACATCTTTGTACACATCTATCAGTGTATATTGAGCTAGAATATCTTCCTAATATTTAACTTAAACACTTCAGGATAGTATTCAACTTAAGGATTCCCAGATAGTGGTTTCAAAGATGACTTTTCCTTAGTGTTGAGAACTCATTGTCCTGTCAAGTTTTTTTTTTTTTAATAATAGTTCTGATCAGTTTTAATTGCTCTATCCGATGTTATCATTAGATTTCATCGAATCTAAAACATAAGATTCAGAGTTGGTCGAAATTTATGAGTTCTGAAAAAAAAACTTCGATCAATTCCGTAATCTTTTTTAACTTTTCAACAAAATCATGGGATTACATCGGATTCAGCATTCAAAATTGAGCACAGTTAACATGAATTTGTAGGGTCTCAATACTACACATACGTTATTTGTGAATTGAAGCTCCAGCAATTGGCCAGATTTTCTCTGAAAACGCATAAATTTCAGCGAATTCTGAACCTCATGTTTAGATTCGATGAAATTTAATGATAGCGTCGGATAGAACAATCAAAATTGAGCAGAACTGTTATTAAAAAAATTGACAAGAGGGTATGGATAAGTCTTTCTTAGCCCATATCCAAAAATTGATTTTATGTAATCAAATGGAATGTATGCGTTGATCAATCCATTCATGACGGAGTTATTTTTAGTGAAAAATTTGTTCGTATCTAATGGAACAATAGTCCCTATTACAATCTGTAAAAATCTTGTACGTCTAGAAGTCAAAGTCGTCTTTTCCATTGGTGGAAGTCACAGCATCTAATGGACTCCACCCTTTATAATATAATTTTTATTAGAAGTATCTGAATATATGATGGGTCTCAAAACGGAACGTTACGCCTAAGCTAATATTACATTTCCTGCATTCGTAGCTCGTTTTTGTTGCCTGCTTCGGATCACGAATCGTGAGGTGCCATACTATAACACTGACAGAAGGAAAGAAAGGAGAGAGAATGTAGAAGTATAAGACCTACAGAGCTAAAAAAACTTACTTTTTTCGAGATTTTTTAGGCAAACCGTGAACGGATGTTGAAAGTTTTGCATTAAAAGTGCATGTTTGCTGCAAAACTTTCGTCGTCTCTAGTCTATCTTTCGTTATAATAGACAGAACTCGTTAGGTACTAATATCAATTTGTACTTCGAGTATAATTTTAGTATCTGTATCAAAGGAAAAATGTCACCGTTCTATATATAGAACACCTGTCGCGAAAGAGTTAATGACATATTTTTATTATTTTCGCTGTTGTGAAGAGACTTGATTTTTTTTCGTTCCTTGATGATATTCTATTTATTACATATTGTGTATTCATGATTATTGTTCTTTCGCTTATGACAATATAAATTATTTGTTATAGAAGATATTAATTGATTATTGTTTGGTCATTTTATAACACATATTAGTAAAAATTTCAAGTTTAGTTTTTTTTTGTCTACAATAAATTAATGAATATTGAAAATAAATTGTAACATCTGAAATAGACAGATTATAAAATCTGATAGCTATAAGATTAGAAGACAATCAGTTGCTTGTCAAAAGGATTTTAAAAGAAATAGAATGATGTATAAAAGAGAAAAGAGTTTCGTTCTGGATAATTTAAAAAGTAGTATAGTTTTATGCTATAGATTCCTAGAAGTTGAAGCAATAATCTAGATTTTTAATTCGTATATCATACAGAATACCAAAAAAAAAAGCGATGGGCTGACGCTCATCAATCAGGAAAAACTTTCATCTTTTGTTGTTCTTACGCAAGTCCAAAAATGCAAAAACAAATCTTACAGATATGCGAATATTTTTTTGCTTTGCTGTATGTCTACTTTCAGTTAAAATATATCGAGAGTTGACTAATTTTTTTTTCATGCTCATTTCTTTGTATACATAGAAAAGCCTATTTTCAGCATACAAATACCTGTACGCTTCTGAACTAGATCCATCATATTATTTGTATCAAATCTAAACGAAAAAAACACAAGCGATTCAATAGATATGAAGATTTATTTTGTCAGAAAATTGACTAAAACTACTCACATATGCATATGATATTGTAATATTCTATAAGAAAATTTGAGCAATATATTTCATGTTGATATTTTCTTGTTCAAATATCTATTCTCAATGTGTGATATCTATCCGTACATCTCATCAGTTAAAACATCTGCATTATATCAAGATCATGTAAATCCATGATTGATTACACTCTATAAGAAATATTTTAAGTCTAACATATCCGTTTGATCTACCAAGACGATCCTATTAAACAATTAACTTTTAATTATAATCTGATCTTTTAAAGTACATATTTTATTGGATAAAATTACATTATTTTCATCCTGAAGTTCAAATTGAAAACCATGACTAATGGCTAGATCGACATCAGAAACTCATACTACCTGTGTTGGATCTTATAGTTAATAATTAGAACCTTGAACTTACGATCCAAAAAGATACACACGAAATAACAAAACCTAATTTTCACTTCGATACACAATTAGAAAAAAGGAAAAAGATAAAACAAATAACAATTTTTACTTTATATTCACAATCATAAGCTGAAATATGTAGATGTATAAAGAAGGCAAACGAAGAACAATTCATTTTGATTATCGTATTGACACATAAAATGTTACAAGTATTCATGTTCTATCCAGATATTCTAATTTAATGAGGTAAACATGCTCAATTTAGTAACTGTGATAAAACAGTATCAGTTGACTCTTGTATATTGTTTGCACACTCGATGAGATTTTCATGGAATTTTCTTAGTAATATTTTGATTGGATCATGTGCAATAATGACAATTAAATTTTTTATAGTTTTCATAACGCCAGTTAGTTTTTTCATCGTTTTGCCGATCTCGAATATAGAAGCAACCGTATAATATCATTACGGGCTAAACTATTGCGGTAGAAGTGAATTCAACTGATGTACACATGTTTGAGTATTAGTGATAATAGGCTATTCTGATACCGAATACGAGTGTAGCTTAACGATATTTACACATTGAAAGGATAATATGTCTTCTAATTGCAAATTGTAATTTAGTGGATTAAATAATCACATAGTTGCTAAAAATCTATTTCAACATTGTTCTCATTAAAGTTAATTTGAACTATCCCATATGTTTTTTCTATTTCTTTCTCTTGTAATTATCCTTTAAAATGAACATTAGATGTTGTTATTTAGTGCGCATTTTTTCTATACTATTTTAATATATAAATGTACTTTACAATCTCTTGGAACGAGGCACTTAATGTGCTCAAAAATACTTGATTTTCAGACATATTGATCTTTTCCGTATATCTAATCGTTCTACGCAAGAATCAAATTGTTACATCAAAACGAGAGGAAAGGACTCATTAACTGTACAGTAAGTCGAAAAATGTACAAGAATGTACCAGTTATTCTTAGTAACGAAAGTAAAAAATAAATTGGCCATTTTCTAGAGAATTAGGTTCTGCATCGAATAGTATGTTACTCAGCATTTTTTGAAAAAAACCCGTTGTTAGGAAATATAATATACGATTTTTGAAAAGTTTAAAACCGATTTTGATGCCAAAATTCAATTTTCTTAAAGAACAAACATCAAATTCGTAATTATTGTGAAAAACTGAATTTCATAATGAATCCAGATCTGGCCATCTAAAAAAAAAATTTTCAAAAAACTTAATCAGAGAAGTGTCGTGTCACGTGAACAAGTCGTTTAACCAAAAGATGCTGAATAGTTGTAGTAATTCTATACATTCAAAACAAGTTGATTCTATTCGTTCTTTTTATCATTCCAACTGATAGATGCTTTTTTTTCTTCATGAATTTAGAATCCAAATGTCAACATACTTTTTAGTGATATAAGACACAAAAAAAAAACAAAAAAGTATTATATGAAGATTATACATAGAGAAAATAAAAAGGTAAAATATTAGATTTTCTTTCTCATTATGACATGCAGTATTTATGATCCAATAAGTGTGCATATTTATTTAGCCCACATGTAGACATATTAATCATCAGTATTACTATGTCGATTTCGTAAAACTACTAAGGTTGAGAAAATAATAAGACAAATAGTAGCCAGCAGTAAGAATCCAGCAATGATAAAAGCAATAATAGCTGCCGTACGCCATCTTGATAAATCATCTCTCATTTTCAATAAATCATCCCTCATTTTCAATAAATCATCTGACGAACAAGTTGAGGTAGCACCTGGCCCTGTGGTCATTGTTGAATCCGTTGTATCAGTTCCCGGTGTTGATGTCGTTGTTGAATCCGTTGTATCAGTTCCCGGTATTGATGTCGTTGTTGAGCTCGTTATATTCCCATTTGGTGTTGATGTCGTTGTTGTTGATGTGGTTGTTGTTGATGTCGCTGTTGTTGATGTGGTTGTTGTTGATGTCGTTGTTGTTGGTGTGGTTGTTGTTGATGTGGTTGTTGTTGATGTCGTTGTTGTTGGTGTGGTTGTTGTTGATGAGGTTGTTGTTGATGTTGATGTCGTTGTTGTTGGTGTGGTTGTTGTTGATGTCGTTATTGTTGATGTCGTTGTTGTTGATGTGGTCGTTGTTGATGTGGTTGTTGTTGATGTCGTTGTTGTTGATGTCGTTGTTGTTGATGTCGTTGTAGTTGTTGTTGTCGAATCGACTAAATATATGAAAGAATACGTTTTTCTTTTGTTTTATACATTATAAATTCACTCATACTTGGTGCAGTATCTGGACATTGAAGAACTGCTGGTTCAAAACCACTTTTAAAAGTTACAAATGTCACATTATATTGTCTTCCACTTGTAACTTCACATTTAACAAACATAACTGATGTTACTTCATGATAGTCAAAAACAAAATATGTTGATGGACAGTAGACATATATTTTTTCAAAATTTTTGTTTGGAGGACTCCATTCAATTATAACTATACGTGTAGCATTAATATCAGGAGGATAATGGTGAGTTCTACATTTACTTTTTTGGAGTACTAAAGAAAAATATAAAAAAATTAAAATATAAATTTTCATATTTATAATTCATTTACATGTATTCGCCTGAATACTTCTTAATCGTTGAATAGTATTATTAATATTAACTAAAGACATTGTAATAATAAAAAGTGTAGCTTCTTCAAGTGATTGACATTGATATGCATTTGATTGAATATCAATTGGATGAAAATCATCATGTGAACCACATTGAATTTTATATTCAAATAAATTTGATATGAATGAATTATTATAATTCCATTGTATCATAATAGTAGTTTCTGTTTTATTGAAAACATCAAATAATGGTATATCAGGTATTTGTTTAACTAGAATAAATTTTAAACAAAACAAAAAAAAAAAACAAATGAACAAAAAGAAAAAGTACTAATATAATACCATTAATTCCTACAGCAGCTATTCGATCATGTATATAACCAGGAATAGCTACTCGTGTTTGAATAGAAATTATACTTATTTCATTAAATGTTGTTTGTTGACAAGTATATGTTGTATTTCTATTAACTTTTCTCATTGAATTTTCACTTGAATTACATAAAACAATAAATTCAATAGGATCATATTCAGAATGAGTATCTGTCCAACTAAGCATAATATTATTAAAATCTTCTTGTATACGAACATTTGTTACTTCATATGGATATAAAACATTCGATGCTAAACAAATAAAAAACAAAAAATGGAATAACTACATAGATTTAACAAAAAAAAAAAATTTTTCAAAACGAAATACTTGGTGTTGTATTCGATTTCGACAAAGCGTAACCAATTGAATTGATAGTATGAGTAAAAATAATTTCATGTCTAAGATTAGGTATAAGACCATACTTAAATGTGGAATTTGGATTAAGTTGAAAATTGGATACTTTTATTCTCTCATAAGTAATATTTTCATTTTGTTTATCATGAAATATTAAATTAAATTCATATATACTAGGAAGATTTATTTTTGGTGGTGAATTTGCAATGACAGTAAGTAGAAGTGAATCAAATGAATATGTAAATGGAACAGGTAAAGGAACTAAAATACAAAGAAAAATTATTATTATTAATTTTTTTTGTTTTTGTTTTGTTCAATCACCTTCTTGGACAACGTGAGTAACTGCTGGAGTAAAATCTTCCTTAATAGTTTCAAGTACAAAACTCATTAGTGGCATATCTAGTAGAAATGAACAGTCGACACTAATTATAGAATATTCTAATGGTGCGCTAGTATTGAATATTATATGTGTTTTTTCATCCGAACAATAAATAATAACATAATCGAAAGATCCTATTGGATGTTCAATACCTAAACGAACTCTATCACCGGTTACATTGATATATGCTAAAGTTGGTGGTTGTAAATCTAAAATGAAATTTCAAAACAAAAAAAGACATGTAACAACATAAATTAGTCATTTTCATACTTGTAGCATATGTTATGAAACAAGTTTCTAAAGTACCATTATCATGTTCTATTCCAATAGATATTTGATCACTTTGGCCATAACCAAGTCCAGTACAATTATATACATATCCATGAATAGATTCTATTGAAGAATTTGCTGTACATTGAACTGTTCGATTTAAATTTATTATATCAGTTGATAAAAATATGATTTGTATAGTATCATTTTGTAGTTGATGAGTGATAGTATTATTATTGCATGGGACTAAATAGACAAAAAAAAGTAGACTTTATCAATTAATTTCTAAACTATGAATTAAAAAGATTTTTTATTAGGTAATAAAATTGAGTTTACTTGCAAAAATATTTGCGATTTGAAAACTGAATGTTAACAGTAGTAGAATTATGGTGTCAGAAATCAGCATCTTTGTCATACTGAGAATACTTGAAAATGATTATAATAATCAAGGACGCACGGATCAGACCGGATATTTATACACGTATATAATTATAAGTATTTTATATATATGCGTCACTAAATATTAAAGAAATAAAAAACCGAACTGCTTATTACTAATATTGATCTCTCCTCATTTTTCATCCCTTAATACGAATAGGTTTGTTTGCTTATTGATTTAACAATGCAACCAACCATTTTTTTTTATATGCGAAAATTTTATTTTTTTATTTTCCTTAGTAAGTCAATATTCTTGCCTCTATTGATTTTAGATTGTTTTTATGTAGAAAAAAGAAATAGGCAACATTCTTCTTATATGTATAATCTGATATTTTGTAAAAGGAATAAGATCTTATAAATCAGACTAGAATTCGATACATACCATCTTAAGTGACAAAATCACGTCTCTCTCATTTGCAAAAAATTTTGCAATTTTTGAAAATGAAATCTAATTCCTTTTTTTTTGTAATCACAGAATAAAATAATATTATGAGTAATCAAGAAAGATTCTTGCATTTTATTCTCATAAATCCTTAATACGGACTAGTTCTAAATTTCTTTTTACTATTATTTAATTTTGTTGAACTTTTTATGAGAAATTATAAGTATTAAAGAAAATAAACAGAATAATAATATAATTTAAAACAATTATAGTATTGATGAGATTAATAAGAAAAAGATAAATCGGCATTCTTACCACAATTCTTTTCAGATTCTCTGTTTTCTTAATAGTCAATTTAGACTCTTTTTATTATGAATTTCAAGCAAAAGTTTTCTTTTCCTGGACAAGTATTTTGAGTATTGTGCACAATTAAAGCAACTTGTACATTGAACTTACGAAAATCATACAGATGAGAATATTTGAAACGATCAACGAGAACAAGATAATAATAGTTATTCTGCTCAGAACGAAAGAATACTACTTGTCATGGAGAATATCGGAATCAAATTACTTATGTAGATTCCTTTTTGACCCGTCTGTTACAATTTTTAATATTTAAACTGTGCATTTTTACTAACAATGGAGGTGTTTGTGTTGTAAGTTAAATCGATTAGACATATTAAGATCAAATGAAAGCTCTCATCGCCAAAGTAACAAGGTTAAAATATTAGCTCCCCTTAACTTTTCTATAAGGAGATATTTAAAGTTCAAGGTATATAAAATTTAGGCATAAAAATGAATCAGAGAAGGTTTTTTCTACTATTGAAAGGATAAAATATAGTGTTATTCGAGCCAATTATGGGGTTTGTAGGGATGCTCTATCATATGGCCCGAATCACACCATGTTTTGTTCTTATAATAGTAGATTTAAATTTTGCTAGTGGCTCATAGAAAATGCCGGTTCCATGAGCTACAGGAAAAATTCACTCCACTATTATAAGAACAAAACATGGTGTGGTTCGGGCCATATGATAGAGCATCCCTACAAACCCCATAATTGGCCCGAACAACACTATATTTTATCCTTTCAATAGTAGAAAAAACCTTCTCTGATTCATTTTTATGCTTAAATTTCATATACCTTGAACTTTAAATATCTCCCGATAGACAAGTCAAGGAGAGCTAATATTTTAAACTTGTTACTTTGGCGGTGAGAGCTTTCATTTGACTTTAATATGTCTAATCGATTTAACTCACAACACAAACACCTCCATTGTAAGATTCGAAGCACTTTGAATATAAAATTTAATTAAAATTGGCTTCATACATTACAAATAATTCTATTGGTGTATTATTATCACTGGCTTGCGATCGGAATGGGCTTATGCTGATAATCTGTGCAGCTCGTATCGGTTTTTTTTTCATGCAATATTCCATTTGTGATCATTTTTACAAGCGCTTAAGTTCATCAAAGTCATCAAGACATGTTCATAGCACATGACTTTCTTGCCTAAGATATTTAGGTAGTTCATGCACATGAAAAACAAAGTTTGACTAGGGAAGAATTTGAAAAGAATAGAAGCAAGAATATCTTATTTAATTCTTGTTTGATTAACTTTATATTAGTTTATGTATCTTTGAACACAGCTAATTGATTTTTTTTTCTTGAATTAATAACTTTAATATTTGAGTTTTATCTGCAATAATTATAATAGTTGATGATTTTCAATTTCTTCTATATGATGAAATTAAAATTGAGTTACTATAGCAAGTTAAAGAGTTTTTCTATTATTCCATCAGTCAAATTTTTTCTCTTAAGTATAATTACATTCTAAAAATATTCATTTGCATATGAGAAAAAATAGTTTTTGAGAATAAACGAAAAAATAAAAATAAAAATAATGTCCGATAGTAAAGGTATGACTGTTTCATACTTTATTTTTATGTTAATCTTTTTTAATATTGCCTATCCACGTCAAATTCGATTGATATCAAATTTTGTGCTCACCTATAATGTTTCAATTGATAACGTCACAACAATGTTGATATCCTTCGAGCAGACATCATCATGTAATGCATGTATTTGTGCTGCACTTCTATCAACATATGATTATGTGGCTATTAATTGTTATAAAAATAATTATAGCTGTTTACTATTTTCATCATTGACGATAGCCACTGGTACTATTTTATCTGAAAGTAATTCTTTATACATTTTATCGAATATAACGATACCATTTGATAAAGAAACCATTGAATTAACTTTGTCATCAAATGCAACTGCATTAACAAGCACGAATTCAATTTCTAGTCCTTTATCGGATTCCAATAGCGATTTGTTGTCTACGACTATAGCCATGACTGATATGATAACAACCGAAGGAATTACTACAACTAAAACAACTTCGATCAGCAACACATTTACTAGTATGATGGAAACCGTGACTAGTACTACAAACAAAACGTCAACGACAACACATACTACTCAATTAACCACCACAACTAGTTGCTATTATGATGTTTTTTTTGGAGTTATATGTTTTGGCTAGTGTTGTCCTCGTATTAATATTTTGATCGCAGAAGTTTATTTTTTGATTGTGAAATAAAAGATTTTAGTCGGTTATTGTCATGAAAATAATTAATCTAGAAAATGTTTCATTTGATTATCTTATAACGTTTAATAATTGATAGAAATAATTGATTTTTCACGATGATTTAATAAATATATATATCCTGAATTAGCAAACATCTATATAATTGTAGTCCTTTTAATCTCATGATCTGATTAGAAAATTGAAATAATCATAGAGAAATTTTCTAATTTTTTCGTAGTTTAATGTGCAATACATCATTTCAAATCGGAAATAGATCCTTTATTATAAACACAATTAGTGATACTGAACAACATAATTTTTTAATCGTAACATTAATATGTCATGTTTCTAATTGATCTGTTCGAAATTTGTAGAAAATTATAAAAAAAACTACACTAGTCCCCAAAAGTACCTGAAGTTTAATCCTTTGGTCTCATAGTTTGATCACAAATAGAATATGTTGAACTCGGATCGTAAGGACTAATCAGGACTTGATCGACCTTCATACAGACGAGTTTAGAAGATCAACATTGATTTTTTCTTCAGATGAAGATATCTCAACATAGAAAATAAATCTCATGACGTTAGTTCCTTCATTCGATAGCTCAGCATTGTCTTTCTCATCAATAAAAATTTCATGTCAATTTGTCTAAATTATGAACTAAACTTTGAATAATCTCCACATGTGAGTTGATGAGAATCGTCGGAAAGTGATCGATATCTTCTGCTAATTTTAACCATTTACCTCGAAATTTTCTCCAACGAGTGGTCTGGTCTAATCAAGTTATTTTTGAAAATTTCATGATCACAGTTGTCAATGGAGAAGATATACATGCTGAGACCATCGCAGATAATGGAGATTCCTCGCCATCTCAAGATTACAGTAAATTGGAGTACTCTATCTGTGACATAATATTGACATGCAAACTTTTATTTATTAATAACAAAATGGAGATTAACACTTTTATATAGTAGAAAACCAGAAAAGTGTTTAAAAAGTCTTTTTTGCAGCCCTAGAAGAAAAATTAGTGTTTTCATCGTAAATGCTTTATATTAAGATCTATCAATCTCGGGTTGCTGTTTGCAATAATATTTTTTACTAAGCTCTATTTCTAGTCAAAATATCAGGCGAAAGGATTGAAGTTTATGTATTTCTAACCTGACAGCAGGACATTTTGCGACTACTGTATATCACATAATAAATTCAATCATATTTTTGCAAAGAGAATTTTTCACTACTTGATATTAGTTGTAATATATATATCGATTTCAAACAAGTATGCATAAGAAATATTCAAAATAATAAT